TTTGATAGAGGTTGTGTCTGACAAAATGAAGAGGAACATTCAAGAAAGCATGATGAATATTACGGTTAAAAGAATTTTGCCCTAACTTCATGACAAAAGAATTTCTGGGCCTATTAGCGTTTGCAAATAAGCGTGTGTTCCAGACTGATCGGTTTACGTATGTTTTGATACCATTTTTGGTAAAGATTTATCAAAGTGTTCCTGCAAAATATCTACTTTCACTTTAGGGTCCAAGAAATCATATTTTTCATTGACCGTGCATAGAAATGACTATTTGACGGAAGTTGGTGAGAAAATATGAAAGATCACAACTACAATAAACATGTACATTAAGATTTCCCACTCGATATAATCGAGTGGGAAATCAACACAAACATTACAATTATGCCACTTTTTTCGGGAAGAATGGGTAGGCCCCGATAGAGAAGGTTTTCCGAATGGATCGATCTTATTCACGTTTCCTGTCACGGTTGATAGTTGTAATTTTGTCAGTCACGAGTTAAAAATCACCCAAGTAGCAAAGGTTGATAAATGACAAAATGAATTAAGGCCTTTGAGGTTTGTCGTCGATCATTTGAATTGTATGTGTTAATATGAATAAAGTTTATCTGATTTGAGCCTGTGATATAAGGTACCAACTTGTCATGGGGTACCAACTTGTCATGGGGTACCAACTTGTCATGGGGTACCAACTTGTCATTGTCGTATGGGATGGGTAGAACAACCCTGCATTTCCAAAAATGTTTGTTGGCGTAAGGGAAAGCCCACTATTGAACATAAATCTTTCATTTGCACACTCTGCATAGTTTAAACGAGAATGTCACAAAATGCAGGATGTTTGATGTTATCGTGATGGTCCGATAATTCTGGTCATTATGCAAGAAAAGTTAACAAAAGGAGACATATATAGAAATATAAATAAATGAATTCGAAGTAACATAACATATCTCTTTTGTAGCCTTCCCGTAACCTCTTGTTCCCATTTTCTGAAGTGCAATACGGACTTGGATAGTGAAATAAGGTTTGGACAATTGAGGTTTGCTTGGATTTAGCTCATCCTATTTATGTGCCTGTTGACAGACACGGTATGAAATTAAAAGCTATCGTCAAGGTCAATATTGAATTGAATTAAATATAGAGAAGCTCAAGACGGCGTGATGAGAGCTGTTAAGATAAGCATTATACATATACAAAAGATGTCAAGAATGAACAATGCTTCATTGGTTCGAGCAAAACACAAAAAGTTCTTCATCTGAAAATAGAGATTCGAGAGTGAGCAAGGTCGAGAAAGACACCTTTGAAATTATCTGAGAAACAAGGAGTTTCTACATGTATTTCTCTTCGGACGTTGAAGTTTTTCCCTCCAAAGATATCATATCAAACGATCTTACTTGTCTGTATCTTTATTTTTGGTGCAGTACAATATAATGTGTTTTTTTAAGAGGATTTTTGTTTTCAGTTGATAATCAAAGAAGAGGTCCAATGTTCATGAACTGTATAATTAAGATATCTACTTGCTGAAAATGGGTCAACAAATCAATGACAAACTGTCGTATGATGCCATTCTGTGTTAAAAATTAGTGTCTGGTCTCTCAAGATCGGTTATCTTTAGAACCAGATTAAAGTCAACAACTTTTGTAAGTTTTAGAATCTACGTCTCGATAATTGCTTTGTACAGCTGAATCACCTAAATAATTACTTATATTCGGTGCTGCTTCAATCCTTGGAATGGAAGCCAAATGAGACATGAAATAATGCGGTTACTTTAATTGTGCCAGATTTTTTTTATGTCTTTTAATTTCTTCATTATATACTGAATGTTTCCATCCTTTTTGACAACTAGTACCTCACTGTTATATTAAGAAAATGTCGGTTCGGGGACTTCTGAAGAAAACAAGACAGGTTTAGTTTCTTTGGAAAACCAATACCTTAAAAGAAAAGCCAATTGTGCTAAAACTATGAAAAATTTTTATTTCCCCACGTGATGCGAAGCCGTGTTGCGACATGAATTAACCAGAAACTAGGGTTTTGTTCGTGTTTTTTCCTTTTTGTTTATTTGTTGTTTGATATTTTTCAATTTTCATATGGATTGTGGAAAACAACAATAATTATTTTGCTTGAGGTAGACTAATATGTAATCAGAAATTCTCAGATACAAAAAGGTTTTCGTGAGTGACTGTTTGGTTCATTTCACACGCGCATCGAGACCCTAATGGACCGATCGACATATCCAATTTCGGTCACAGTTTTTAAGACCGTGGGGATAGTGAACCTTGTTCCAGTATAAATTTAATCCATCCTGAATAGGCGACGCTACCCTGTGGTAGAGAAAGTGACTCCCCCCCCCCGGGGGTAAAGTGCATTGTTTTGAAGGTGGGGTGGGAAACAGTCATGCACTGTTTGGGTTGAAATGCAGAGGGTTGTTACAAGAATAAAACAAAACAAAACAAAAACACAATAACAAGTAAAGCAAATATTGGAGGCATTTGACATCAAAAGCAAGAATAATGGAGTCAGCATGGCGCAAGGCCTGGTGTGTAGCTTAGCATCACAAAGCCTCTGGGGATATTTTGTCTTTTTATTAACTTCAAAATTATGAGCTGTATAAACATTTCTATGCAGCAAACTTTGGCAAACTGTATTCGACATAGGGTGTCTTGCCCCGTGCGACACTGTGTTTCAATAGGATAAATATTAAATTTACCGCACATAATAGTAAGACTACGTAGCATTTACAGGAAAAGTTGAGCTTTAAAACTAGGAGGAAAAGAACAAAACGTATTACCCAAAACTCCGATACAAAAGATACGTGATGAAGAATTAGGAATTTACAGGAAATCAGCTCCGGGACCAATCACAGACTTGCATAGTCCAGTCAGATCACAGATGCAATTCGCATGATACTTGGTCAGAGTACGTCTGGTTACACTTGGGATATGGCACGTGATCGAGTACGCGAGCTGATTCAACTCTTGTGATTGGTTGAAAACGTAGTGCCCCAGTCGGCTCTGCCAGGTACTATGGAATTTGATCCCATCAGATCGTGGTTCTTAGTGATGCAACATACAACGAGCGCAATTCACGAGGACTGATTTACTGCATCTGACGTGTTACTTTATAATCTCACAGCCCCTCGATAAATCTGTTATTCAGACTGAAATATCACGCGCGATTTTAGCGCTTAAAGATGTATGTGTAGAACACTGGTGTCTTTTTAAAATTAAGCTAATTACTTAAATTCCTGGCTATAATCACAGTACCGGCACGTTCGTTTGAAACTGCCTGCCGAATACAGCTTTGGAAAATGCTACACGAAGCGCTAATGCGTCTTGCTTCAATTAAGATTTTGGCAGTTACCTCCTCAACTAGATCATTTCGAATTAAGTTTTCTGTTTTTGTTTAGAAAACCGAAAACATGTTACAGATAAACCATTTCTTACCTCTAATATCTAACCATAGACTAATACATGTACTTCTATAATATATAACCACGAGCTTATTTTTTTTCCATTCTTCTAAAAAACCGACATGCATATGTAAAATCTTGAATAATGCAACATCCTTATCATATACTATTCTTCAGCTGTTATAGTTATGAAATAATAACCGAAGTGTAGCTGCAATGAATTTTTCTAAGACACAATTATTACAACTTTGTGCTCTTCTTTAACATGCTTTGCTAGATAAACGAGGGCGCTGTTGCTGTAATGTCATCCAGGGAAGACAAAGTTCAGTGCATAGATATTTCTGTTCAAATTATGAACCCAGAATACTGAAAACATTTCTGAGAAAGGGATTGATGATTGCTTTATATTGCTATGAACTTTAACAACGATGAATCAGCAAATAAGAGAAAACTTCGTCCGGCGAAATCTCAAAAAACGCGAGACTTTTTTGTATAAAACCAATGTCACATGGAGACTCTCTTCCTGAGATGACATCACGGTTTTGCTCATGAATATGCAAATCATTGGCATAAAAATCAAACAGGCAGCAAAAAAACCTTTGAGACACAAAGGTGCATTTTAAAAGTTTGTATTAAAAATATTGATTGCAGCTACTCTATAATCGTTCAGTAATATAACCAAAGGACAATATTCCTTTACCCAAAAATGCAAGTCTAGAAACAACTTGACCCCCACTAGTCCGGCTAATCGTCAACCATAATAGAATAATTATTCCATCATCATGAAAAAGCGGAGACCAGCCATTCAGCTGCCCCGTTGTTGGCAAAAGGTGGTCTTCCTTAAAGCTCGTACGCCGAGTTCGGGTTGGCCCGGGCGCTGATGACATGTATATTTCAACCAATGAACAAGCAGCAGAGTTTACTCAAACGACCGCGGTCGAACCATTTAGCGAAATCCCGTTGTCACCCACATTCTGTCGTTGGATGCCTGTTTCATTGTGTTTTTGGTCCCTGCCATCTCGCGCAATTTATGCCGACGGTTTCCTCTACACTCATTTACGACATCAACTTGTTGAACGGTCTCAGGCCATCTTAGACTACAGAAGCCTAGAAACAAACACCATTACTAAAACATTTTTCGGAACTACTATCTCGCCATAACGAGATACCACTTCGGAAAACGTTTGATTGTAGCTCCTCTCTGCTTCCGTACTTGGGCGACAATGGTCAAAATGGTCAACTTTGGCAAGCAAGGCGTCAGTGCTTTTCACACTCGCCCTGCTTACATGATACACAGCGCCCTCTATAGTTCACGTACGGAGTTTACAGAGCGCAGAAGCACCATCTACAGATAAAATGAATTACGAATCGTACATACAATGCAGTTACAAAAAAAAACCCAAAAAAAAAAACCAATTATCACAGCCCTATTCAAATGATCAAACACTATTTACATCCACCTAGCGACTAACAGCCAAATCTGGAATGATTTCTGCGGAATATTGTTTACAATTTCACAATAATGGCGGGTCAAATCTTAATTTTCCCTTTCCCTTCAACCCCGGCAACAAAATATTATAATGAGCTTCCTCACCTTTTCCTTGTGGCCTAACTGGGGGTGCATGTGCTCCTCTTCCATTATGGAATTGTAAATGCACGTAGCCAATGTACAAGTCCCAGTTCATTTGCTTTCAATGCCCTCATGTGTATCCCGGGATGCGACTTCTTTTTTACACAATACACTGTGGAAACTCGATTGGAGTAGGCTATGTTCGTGGCTCTGGAGGATTTTTTTCAAAGCGAAGCCACGGACGTATAAAATAAATTTCGACCCACAATGCAGCATTTGTGATACGGACGTCATTGAAGCTACCGGAAGTAGAGGGGCGGCCATTTCATTGTGCCAAAAGATTGAGGACAAACCAGCGCTGACCTATGGAACACTGCCACGGTCTTTGATGTTTATGTCGAAAATATTCAATAATTTCAGTGCAGCATATTCGATTACTGCCCGAGGGTTATATTAATGATTAGTAGGAACAACTTTTGCAGAGATGTTCGTGTCCATTAGTGATAACCGAGGAACGCGTGAATTTATGGCCAAATATTCTTCACAGTTCTCTGCCGAACTGAACACGTGTAGTTATGTACATGTACAGGCTTCAATGACGATTATTTTAGCACGACCAGACATTTGAAGCAAGATATGGGACGGTGAGGTAACAAGTCTACAGTGTGTATAGAAATTGGACAGGTAAGGGGGGTACCAGACCTGAAGGCGTTGTATCAAAGAAAGGTTCTATACTGACCTCATGCTTTGTAAACAATTATTTTTTTAATTGAAAAATGATTTTGTGGCCGGCTTTGTATTAGTCATTCATGATTTGCTTACTGAATTTTATTTTACTTCTTTTTTTTACAGAATGTAGGCCCACACTGAGAAATATTTTATCAGTGTTAGTATGGCAGATAAAAAGGAATATTCTCCATAATTTTTAAAGTTCATGCACTGGGACATTCATTTTCTTGTCATGACCGAGGATCGGAATTAGCCTGCCAAATTCAATGTGCTGCAAACTGCGGCACCACAGAGCATTACGTCCTCCTCGTACTTCAGTTTTTGTGAAACAAAATACCTATTCTAGAAAATTCTAACGATGAAAAATTTCGGAAACAAAAAATTCAGCTTTTGCTTTTTTCTGTTGGATTTAATTTTTCAAATTGTTTCAGAGAAACCCGCTGAGAATACGCGAAAAAAAAACGATAAAAAACAAACGAGCACTCGCTGAACGCTAATGCTAGGCCTTCACAAAAAAATTGGCTTAAATTCAAGCTTTCCTCGGTGATCACTAACAAACACGAAATTCATCTGCAAGAGTTTGTTTCTCCTTATCCCTACCATAACCCTCGGGCAGTAATCGAATGTGGTGCAATGGAATTATTGAATGTTCTCAACAGAAGTCGGCAAGGTAAAATGGCCGCCACACAACCTCCAGTGGCTTCAACTAATCAGGAGCGCTGCGGGTCCAGATTTTATTATACGTCTGGCCGTGAGCGAAGTCCGACATTTCAGCAGGGGAGCTTCACCAAGGCATAAAAACTAGTCTTCTCTCAAGACTGGCAATAATATCGCTTTCCCATATGGGAGTACATCATCATATCCCCAGACAGTTGTGTAATAAAACGAGGCTGCCAGGTTACCCCCTGAGAAATTTTACCCCTTTTTCATGCTACTGTTGTTATCGCTGTCATTAGGGACATTATTGGTACTCATACTGATCAACAAGTTGCACATCTTGTTCATTTTCGCTGGTCTCTGCGACCGCTACCTCTATGTTCAGGCGATCTGTCCCCTGCCCACGAGTTCCTCTAATGACGACATCCTTTATGTCCAGCTTCTGTTGGCTGATCGATGGGAAAAAATCAGACAGCTTGATGGAGAAGTTGGGTAACTCTTCCTGTCTTTCGGTGGCCTCCTTGCCCGACAAATCGACCACATTCAACGGGAGAAGACGCCTCTTGACCAAGGTAGTAGATTCGTTGCTGGCTGTGGTGTGCAAGGCACGGACCTCTCTGCTGGCGGCAACTTCTCCGTTATGATCGATTTCATAGGCAAACTTGAATGCCAAACTCAACGCGCTCGTACCTTCCTCAGGGGGACGAGATGAAGCTTCTTTCATCTCCGCATTGGTTAGGCACTGCATTCGGTTTTTCAGCCCTGTGCGAGAACTGTCGACAAAGTAAGCGCCTTGGCGAGAGGATGAGATTGAACTGGTGGCTTTGCGTTTCGTTGAGGTTGCTCTGCTCGTCTGACAATCGTGTGAGGTCTGCGCTCGATGGTCGCCGATGCTGCTCGCAACGACACAGCATTCAACATCCTCGTCGACATCTTCATCCCGTTCAATCTTTATTATAGGAAATCTCGAAATCTGTTTTGGCACAGTGGTAGTATCTATAAAAGGACCAGACATGGCCACGAAATCTTGATGTGTGCCACTCTGTCCGTCAGGAGATTTAGGCGGGGAGGCATAACAAAGTCTCTTGGGTTGAAATTGATCTTCATCAGCACCCGAATCAGAACTGTATGAGCTTGCCCCTGGGTACCATCTCTGCATCTCTCCTTGGCTCTCCTTCTGGAGATAACTGGATCTAGTTTCCTGTGCAATTGACGGCGGTGATGCTCGGGCGTGAAGTGGTATATCTATGTGACTGGTACTTGGTGCATTCGGAGAGCCTTCATCCGAGTAAGACTGACATTCAGGAGCTTTCATCTGTTGGACATCAAGCACACTTGGCTTCACCGAAACCTTGGTAGCGGGACGGAGCGGCGTGAAGGGAGGCGGGTCTAGTAATCTCGAGATGGCAACAAGCTTTTGACGATCGGACTGCATCTCCGTCACTGAGACACCCTTTCTAGCTGGCTTTAGGCCAGAGGAATTGGAACTGACCGCTCGGCCAAGACCCCACCAGCGTGTACGCTGTCTGGAAATGTCCTCATTAATACCCACTCGGAACAGCACCGACACCACCGCGGATTTGATAGACTGCGTGGTGAAATGCTCCTTCCACAACCCAGCGCTTTTCATCATATCTGACAGGTAATGGCTGAGATGGTTGATGCCGATCGGTCGGTTGGAGAACTGGATGGGATTGGGACAATCTACACTTGCATTAATCGGTCGTCTGAAGAACTCCCCACTGGCTGGTATGTGTGCCATGTATCTGGTCATGATTTTATACACACTGAGATCGTTGGCCGGGTCGTCATACTGTATAACTCTCCTCGTTGGAACGGCCGAAGTTTCAGCAACGGCTGAGGATGCATATCCCTCGTGCTTCTCGAAGTCAACAAATTCAATAAACTTCCCGTATTCGTCTTCGCCGAACCGGAACTGTTCGCGGATGACATCACGAATTGCGTTTCTCGAATAGACACCGAAGGCTTTGCAGAAGTAGAAATAGGTCGCTCTGCTGAGACCAATCGAGTCCGTCAGGTTGAGGATGCCCAGTTTCCACAGTAATGTCTCATGCTCAGGTGTGATGATTTCAACCGATCGTTTTTTGGGCACAGGGTCGACCATTTTGATCAGTTTAACAGTCGATGCAGCAGCCTAAGCCTACCAAAAAGATTTTTTTTCAGTCTGGGCATACGTATCTGCGTAAGTTGAACGTTGGGTGCTTATTTCAGTTTTAATCTCATAACTCCAGAAAGACAACTTTCTGTCAAGCATCCGTTGAATTACGTTTCAGCTTGAACAGTTAACTTGCAATCCAATTAAATGTAGTGTCTAATGGCTTAAGCAATGCCCTGTTTTCAAGTTTAGAATTGTTTATACAGGCGCAAACGATGTGATCAACAATCTCCCAATCCACACAAAATGGCTGAGTTGTGAAACAGCTGCCAAGACGTTATATTCCTATCGTAAGTGTGTATTCTGATCAAGATGGCCTCCACAACGCAGTCTGCTACGTATTCCGAAGGAGCGATGAGCTAACACATGAGCGAGAACGGCTGCGGTACTAGCTATGTGCACTGAAGACTGGTGCATTTCTTTGTGCACGGCACGGTGTCTTTCTATCGGTGCACGCTACACCTTATTCGTCTGTGTAGCATAAATATTGTCCAATGGGTACCACGTGACTGTCCTGCGTAAACAATTCAATCGCCGATGTACGTGCACGCCATTGAGTAAGTACATGTACATAAACATGTGCAATGTCCAGTTTCTGATGACTTTCAGGCAACGTAGCATACACGTGCAATGCACAAGTAGCATGTAATGGTAATTTTATGCACAGTCTACGAGCTGTACATGTACATTTAGTGTACATGTACATTGTACATGTGCATAGTTCGTGCACAATGCATGGACGTACATATGTACATGTACGTATGTACATGTACATATATGTATGTAAAGTACATGTATATGTGTACGTGTATATGCATATCACTGGGAATGCTAAACGCACTGCAGCATGCAGGCGCCAATGCCGCACGCACATGTGATCGTTCGTACATGCCGTCACGTGAACAGGTTTTGTTCGAAATCACTGGATGCATAATGATGAGGAAGAACGTTTCGCAAGCGCCATCATGCCATGCGGTGGGAAGGTGGTGTCGCTGTTTAGCCGGTT